GGAAATGAAGGAAATTGGCTGTGGGGGAATAGGGTTTGGGAGAATGATGAGATTTGAATTTGAATCCTTCCGCTTATATTAAAAAAAAAAAAAGAAAATTACTTGACGTATCCAATAACAAAAAGGAGAATAAAGAGAAAAGGTGGGCCGACGGATAGTTGTGGTCCTATCATTCATTTTTTGGGCTATCTCATAAGTCCATACCTCATCGGGTGAGGAATCCTCCACTTTCTCAACATGGCCGATACGTGTTTGGCACAAACCAACAAAGTTGGTGGAAAACCAAAAAGTCAAAAAGGAAAGAGGTTTCTAGGGTTTGGATGAAATAGTACTCCACTGTAATAGTCGTCCTGGGGAGCTGGAGCCCTGACTCCGGAGGAGGCGGAGGAGGAACCAGAAAAGCTCAAAGCCTTTGTTCATTTTCTCTCTTCAAGTGTATCAACAATAACGAAAGTAGTAATAATCAATCATGGTATGATTTTTTTAGTATGATGATTTGTGTTTGTTTTGTACGGTACAAATTATATATTCATTAGAATTTGCTGTAAACCTAACCAAATAAACGTTATTTGGGGGTGGGGGTGCTGGCGGGGAGTGCAGCCGCAGGGAGATTATATAGAGCTTCACAGGAAGAGAAATGGCTACCGCCATGACCACTTCCAGCGCAAACGCAAGAAGGAAGCTCGTGAAGTTCACAAGCGCTCCCAATTTGCCCAAAAGGTCCCTTCTTTCTTCCCCTCTCTTCTGTCCCTCCCTCTATGCTTTTCTAATTCCTCAATGACGAGATTCTCTTTTTTTTTTTCACACATCCATTTTCCATTTTCGGCAGGCGCTGGGTATTAAGGGTAAGATGTTTGCTAAGAAGCGATATGCCGAGAAAGCCCTCATGAAGAAAACGTATGCTTCTCCATCACTTTTCACTCTTATTATCTTTCTTTCCTTTTTTTTGGTAAGCATCTTTTTGTTGTTATCTGCACTATTTATTCATGCTAACTTGCAATTGGATTTACACCCCTCCTATGTTGGATATTTTTACTTGTTAGATCTTTCTAGGCTTTTGTTTTCTTCTTTTATATGTCTACTCGTTAAGTTCAAGAGCTTAATCACAATCAAGTCGTTTTGACGCTGGGCGCAGTATCAGTTGCAACATTTCCCTTTGCTTACTTTAATAGAACCCTAAGATGAGATGGTCATTAGTTTATTAGCTGTCGATAATATGGGGCTTTTGGTTTACACCTTTTCCTTTTGCATTGCTGTGTGACAGTTTGGCTATGCATGAGGAGTCATCAGCCCGGCGCCAGGTTGAAGATGATGTCCATGAAGGAGCTGTTCCTGCTTATCTACTTGATCGTGAATCTACTACTAGAGCCAAGGCACCCTTTTTTCATTACCATTCTCTAGTTCTTGCTTATATTGTTCGTACAACTGATTGCTGATTTTCATCTATCTTCCTTTTTGTTAGGTTCTCAGCAACACTATAAAGCAGAAGAGGAAAGAAAAAGCTGGAAAATGGGATGTACCTCTTCCCAAGGTGGGTGCCTCAGTTTGTTAGGCTTGCCTTGCATTTTGGATATCACTGTCTTTCGCAATCGCTGAAAGAATTAAATGATGTCACCCCCCGGCGGGATTTGTGGCAGTTTGATTTTCATGTCCATATCCCATAATGTACAGCTTGCAGTAACTTGGCTTACTCTAAGCTAAGTTGTTATTCTACACACTTGTCTCTTCATCCTCGGTTGGTTTGCCAATCCCAGAAAACTCTTGGCCCATGTCATTACGTGCTTCTAAATTTTGGGTGTATAAAAGCACAAAGGCAGATAAAACCTGACAGCAAAAATTAGTAAAGTTCTCAACGTATGAAATGTCTAAAAGCTTATATGATGCATAAATCAGAGAAAATTTCATTCATTTATTTTTTTTTTTGGGGGGGGGGGTTGCAGCTGTCTAATTGATGGTATGTTTCCTAGGATCTTTAAGTAGAATGATGGATGTCTGGCTTCAGTTGTACATGAACCAAGGCAACTTTGCCAAGGAGATCAATTCCCTGCTGGTTTCCTCTTTTCCCTGTTGCCAATGTTTGTGATTGGCTTGTATGGGACTTGTCTTGGCTGTTGGAGTTACACTTTTGTTGAGAACCATACCAGCTGGGGAGCCAATATCACTTTAGTTAGCTCGAGTTTTCCTCTCTCTCTCTCTAAAGGAAAAAAATTCTAGGTTCTCCCCTTTTTGTTTAAGGAAGTTTTTTTGGGAAAATTGCCCCTACCTTCCATGTTTCTGTTGCTTTAATCATCTCCCGACTTGAATCATCCAGTTGCCTCCTGACATTTTTGAAGTAGTTAAGATTTTAGGCAAAAAGGGGGGAGCTTTTGGAAGTTGGCCTTGTAGAAGCACAAGTTTTCCTGAGACATTTTGCTGGTTGCTAAATTCCTGGTTGTCATGTGGTTGTTGAATTTCTTATACTTGAATTAATCAACTTTCTCATTGTTAGTTCTTTGATATATAGGTCCGCCCTGTAGCTGAGGATGAGATGTTCAGAGTAATCAGATCTGGGAAAAGGAAAAGTAAGTAATTTACCTGTCGCTTGCGTTATTTAGTTCTTTGTGTATGTTCAAATGTGCATTGCGCGAGTCAACAGTGAAATTTTGTTTACTGGCATGCTGTTTTTTTTTTTGGGGTTTATTCACAGCAAAGCAGTGGAAGAGGATGATCACTAAAGCGACTTTTGTGGGTCCAAGTTTTACAAGGAAGCCACCCAAATATGAGCGGTTCATCCGACCAACCGGTTTAAGGTTCACCAAGGCTCACGTGACTCATCCTGAACTTAAATGTACCTTCAATCTTGAAATTATTGGAGTGAAGAAAAATCCCAATGGTCCAATGTATACATCTCTTGGTGTTGTAACCAAGGGAACTATAATTGAGGTACACATCTAAATCTGATGTTGCATAAATATTTAGTTTTTCAGGTTGAGTGATGTATAATTGCTAATGTATTCTGACTTGAATATCAGGTGAATGTCAGTGAATTAGGTCTTGTAACTCCTGCAGGAAAAGTTGTTTGGGGTAAGATTGTCCTTTCATTTTTGTCTCGGAAACTAGGAGGGGCCCTTCATTTCAGTTTTTAGTTGTGTGTTCTTATTGTCATTTGTGTTTTCAATGCAGGAAAGTATGCTCAAGTGACAAATAATCCTGAGAATGATGGTTGTATAAATGCTGTCTTGCTTGTGTAGGAATGGAGAGACATTTTGTATGACCGACTCTGGAGTTTTACTGACGCACCGATGATGTTTCTACTTATACCTACCATCTACCTACTTTTGTTCGTCATTTTTGTTAGTTGCTTAATATGACTACAAAATTTTACTGTACTATGAATTGAACATAGCATACGTTACTTTGGCGAATGGCCGCGATTCCTCATTGTTTTGTGTTTAATACTCAAAAGAATGAGCGATTCATGGGAAGGCATTTGTGGGCGATCGGTTTGTTAGGAGGTTACAGGACCAAGTTGACGGAAGTTGCCTGCCATATGCCTCGATGTTGTGCCTCATTTACTTGCTCTGCTAAATCTGTCTATAATCGCTGCATTGTCTGGTGAACGAACTGATAAGGCTAACTTTCCTTGGGGAGTCCCAATAATATCATGCCTAGTGTTATTTTCGAGTAGAGGTGGCAATTTGTCCCAAGTTTCAATGGATTACTCATGCCCATGGGGACTTTGGGCGGGATGGGTACTGAAATTTAATATTGAGTTTAAAATGAGACAAATCTTAATTGTACCCATTAATTGATGGAAAATTTTGAGAAATACTTGGGTACCCATTGGACTCAAATAGCAAGGGTTTTGTTTGGATTAGCTATTTTTTGGGGGTATTTTTGAAATATTTTATTATAGTAGTGTATATGAAAAATTTTTACTATAAAATTTTTTTGAAATATTTGATATACTAATATGGATGGGATGTTTTTTGAGTTATTGTATATTACTGTAATATTGTATTTGAAAAACTTATTTTTTGAAAAAATAGCCAATCCAAACGGAGTCTTAGATTCAAAAATTATATTTAACAATTTTTATAGTCATACCAATAAATATAATCTAGTAGTCTTCCTAGTCATTATCCACAAGAATTTTCAACATTTCAATCAGTTTAAACCTGTCATCCTTGGATAATGATGAGAATAAATATTCAACACTCTAAGTACCTTGGCCATCTTGATATATGTTGGAATATGGCTGTATATCTATCTTTTCCTTTATTTGTTAATCCAATTTTTGGTGGGAATCCTGAGTATAAAGCACTTGCATGTTTATTTAATAAAACTAAAAGAAATTTAATAAATCAAAAATATTAAAATTATATAAAAAATAAAAAATGAATTAAAGGAAAAAAATATGTAGAAAATAGATTTGGGTATTGGGCGGGATCAATCTAAACTCATCCCAAAGTGATCCCGCCCAAATTAGTCCCAAAACACATGTGGGTAAGGTTGGGTCCAAACCCATATGACTCGGTTCCATCTCAAACCCAAGCAAATCTCGCCCATCCCGCCCATTTTGCCACCTCTATTTTCGAGTAGCATGTCAAAATACGCAGGCTTCACACCTTTTTTTTTTTCTTTGTTCTCGTGTTTGATTCATTTTCTTTATTCAAGGTGTAACCCTTTTAATAGTGATCTTCCTTTGCATTTAGAAATTACACCATCTGATGCAAAAGATTTTCATCTAACTACAATACCCTTTTTTTTTTTTTTCGCAACGATAGATGTCCTATAAACTATTCTAGCCTAATCTAAAGGAAGGGGTAAGGGGAATGATCAATTAAGACCAGTCACAAACTGCGGCAAATTTTTGTGGGAGGCGAAGGTTGAACCCCAGAACTCCAGCATCACCGTTGAGGTGATGACCACTGGACCAAATGGCCAGCGGCTCTAACTACAATACCCACGCTTATGAAAATCATTTTTTGTAGTTTCACGTTCATGCGTCCAAACCTAGACAGAACATGAGGAAAGTAAGCCGCAAAAGTGCATGCTGCCAAGTCTACATGTCTGAAATGCATGAAAACATCCATCAAACAAAGAGACACCTGAAACTAATTCCCTCGTCCGAAAAACATAACCAGAGCCAATATTGAAAAGGCCAGATCATTGGGCGGCTTTGCCGATTCTTATCTCTGTTCTTCATGCATCATGGATGAAGGTAAGCACTGCAACCTGCAATAGAACCACGCAAGTACAAGAATACTTCTTGTTAAACCAAGCCTCCTATGCTGACACATAACCAAGACACTTACAAACATGAGATAAGCCGACACAATTTCAAGAAACTATGAAGTAGAAATTCCACGAGTCGAGTACATCATTTCCTGGCAAATGAGGAGAGAGAATCACAAGGGAGATAAGCAATGTAACTTCAGGTTCAGAAGCTCTCTATGCCTCCTATGACATGGGAAGGCAGAGAATTGAAAAGTGAAGTCAAATTACAGATGAATCTGATTAAACAAAGCTGGCAAACAAATGGATCAGCTATGTACTTTAAGAATACAGGAGTAAGTGAGTACTATAGGCTAATGGACAAGAACAGGACCTCACAGCAAGTATCTAAACGATGAAGTGAACACGGAAGACAAACGGAAAGGACGATCTTTGCAGAAGTTATATTCAACAGATAACAGTATACAAAAGAGAAAGACATTCTTAACCCGAGACTCAAACATCAAGAACAAAAGATGGAACTAGAAATGGAAAGTTTGCACCTGAAGAGGTGTGGCAGCAATCAGCGAACCAATCACAGGGCCACCGAAAACCCCACCATCTGGATCACGAAAGGTCAATTTTAAACTGTCCGACAGCTGCACCTGGCCGTTGTTAGAAACGAAGAAGAAGCCTGAGAGACGAACTATCTCATATAGTCCCTGCACATGTGAGCTTCTGAATGAATCTTCAGCACTTGTATGTTTGCATATAGATATGTATATGGACTGAAAGAAATATCAAGCAGTTGAGCAACAGCAATAACCAAAGGTCAGAACTACTCCAACAATTATACCAAGCTGAGGTGCATTTAGATAGCAGTGTCTAAGATATCAACCTGAGGTCCTAAAATCATGAATGCGTCCATTTTTCAACCCCAATACAATCAGGCGAAATTTCAAAACGAAAGCCGATTTTTCCCACCTTTCCTGATCAAAAGATCAGGCTTCTTCTACAAACTGAAGAGTTCCAACTAAATATGAAATTACATGTAAAGAGGGTCCTTCACTACAATTTTTTCCCCAAATTTCAGCCTGAACAACATTATCCTTCTGACAGAGAGGCTGAAGTTTTCCAACCTCAAGCTTCCTTCAGTTATATTTTATACACACATACACATATGTGTGTATGTATGTAAAGATCAAGCTTAAAATTGTTACCATGTGATACTAAGTGACACCCTCTAGGGGCAATCAAATTACCATTCCCTATTGCAAAGATGTTATTATAACATCACTGCTGATATTTAGCCTGAGATTCAACTGTCACACAATAACAAGCAAAGCAATTGCAAAATTGAGAGAAAGCAAAAAGATACAACCTCAAAAATGACTTGTGCTCCTCGCATGTTCATTCTAGGACCGGATATGGCACCTTGTGCTGACAAAATCACACAGAGACAAGAATGACCTCTGAATTGTGATGGAAATCTTCGATGGACTTGAAAATAATACTGAATCTTCTCGCCCACGCCCTACAAGCGGAATAACATACAACAATGATAAGCATATAGCAATAACTCCCAAAAGAACACACACACACACACATGCATGCGCACAAAAAGAAAGATATCTTAACTGATTCACCACATTAATTCCATGAACATGCTCATGGATATATTTTATCTAGATAATAACATGAAATGCTCATGGATAAACCACTCTTGAACATCTTGATTCCCAAAACAGAGAAAAAACCACTACAGTTTCCAAGATGCTTTTATGTTCCAAAAAAAGAAATGCCAGATGCACAGTGCATATGCTTTGTCAATCCTAATTTAAAACCATTGTTGACTTTCTTCTATCAGGTTATCTATCATCAGCTTTTACAGATCTTTTCTCAATTCTTAAAAGCTTCAACACTTACTTTTATATGGCAACATTCACTACTGTTCTTATTCCACCAAGTGTTTATCAAATAAAATATAAAACAGTAGTATATCAGACCGCTCCTAGAAAAGTTGTGCAATTAAAAGATAAAGAAATTAAGTCATACTACAATATCCAGTTCAAGTTGGATAACTGACTGCTGATAGGATAGTTTAAGAATTTTTTTGCTTCCCCATTTAAGAAGTATTTGTTGAACAAAGTCTTCATTAAATGAAAATAAGGACGAAATGAGAAATGGTACTGTAAGATTAAGCTGGAAAGGTCTATGCTGAATGGAGCTGAATAGGGTAGTCATGAAGGTGTCAGATTCATTTTCTAAAATGTTAATACACAAACACAGCACCAAAGACTTTTTAGAGTCGTGTATGAGGGGGTGTCTTACATGCTCATTTTTAATTAACCAAATATGATAACACCTCTGAATGAAAATAATTTTTTTTTTTTTTTTTTTTCTATAAATGGTGGTGCGCACGGTAAAACCATACATAAGAAAGGTAAGAAAAGAGAGGAAGAATTAACATCACAAGTAGAGACCAACCATTGTCTGACTCATGATGAATAGACCATTGTCTTTATTATCATTCACAATGCATAGATACTAGTTGAAGATGCCTTTCATGTGTCTCATATCAATTACATTATACTTATCCCTTACATTATTGTTACATCTCCTTCATGCACATTAATCCATTGTGTCTAGACATTCTTGAAATAAGACTACCTTCTATATCCTTCTACGTATCTCAATATCAAATCAAGAGTAGTCAATAGACTTTGTGTTGCTATTGCGTATATTAAATTTCAGACGGAAAACTTTTATGTAGATGCATTGGTCGCTAACAGGCCAACTTATTCATGAAGCCACTTTGATTAAATTAGATTAGTATTTTTGATAATCTTCTTGAAGGAAAAAAAAAAAAAAAAAAAAACTAACTGGTCATCTTCTTGAAAGAAAAAAAAAAAAAAACTCAAAGCTTTTGATCCAAAAGAGTGGGTCTGGCCTTTTGATAAGATGGAGATGCGAGACGCAACGGATATCCAATCCGCCAAAGAGTGATCTAGCCTGCAGAAACCCAGAATAGGTATGGACCTATTTTTGCAGTCCATCTAGTCCCATGAACCAAACTAGCCCGTAAAGGAATCGAGTCCTACAGGACTTCACATCAAGGACCGTTTTATTTGCGTGCCAATAGCCATATAATTGTTTTACTTCATAATCTTTAAAAAACTTAACCTCTCAGCCCTCCCTAACCTTTTTCCTGGTACCAAGACTAAAACCTATGTGCATAGTGCCAACACACAGCTCCTACAAGTCTCACAACTGACCCATCTAGAAAAAACTATGCGAAAATTGCACATGAAAACTATCAAAGAGCAAACAGAAAACCAAAAATATTGAAATTTAAACCATCAGCATTTGCGGACCAAAACCAGATACAAATGCAGTTATTGAACAGGACAATAATGAAAAATCTGATACAAAAAACTGGTACATACTAATAGACCATAAATTGAACAGCCATAACTACATCAGAAGGAAAAGAATAACGATAAACAACCCAAACAAAAACAAAATCAAAAGACACCTCGCCAGCATCCACCACGATCACATCTACAATATAATTGTTGGCCAAATTGGATCCTGCAAGAAAATTTTCACTTTAAAATCCCAGATGAAGCTAAACATGTTTCTGGTTACATACACTCAACGCAACATGTTTTGTGTGCCTTCAAAAAAAAGCATAGAGATATGGAACAAAAACAGATTTCCTTGTGAGCCAGAATAATTTGATAACAAGAGCGAAAAGTGAAGAATATAGATTTGATTTACGAATTCCAGCATTTAAAAAAAATCTTTTATTGTAGCAAAACTTTCCATAGGTGTTTTGGGGGTGTATTTTGGAGTATTTTTAGAATTTAAAATTTTAGTGGGCTATTTTTCAAAATTCAAAAAAAAAAAATTCACCAACCACCACCCTTCCCTCCTCCCTCCACCACCACCATCACCCTCACCCTTTTTCTCCCTTCTCTTTCCTCTCTCTTCCTCCCCCTCCCTTTTCCTTTTCCTCTCCCCCCTACTCCCCCATCAACCACCCCTCTCTCTCTCTCTGGTTGCACCAGTGCGAACTAGAAAGTGACCCCCTTCCCTCCCTCCCCTCTTCGGTCTCTGGTGGTGACCAGCGTGACCAGATTTGGTCTCACAGGTCGCGACCAAAGAGGGGAAGCTAGGGGATAAGGTGCTACTCTGGTTCACGTCGGTGCAGCCAAAGAAAAGGAGGGAGGGAGGGGTGAAAGGTTGAAGGTAGGGTAACAAACAAATCGAACCGTTCGAATCAAAACTCGACTCGAGTTCGATCAATATTGAGCTCGAATTGGTCACATTAAACTCGAGCTCGAACTCAATATCAAAATATTAATCTCGTTAACTCGCGAGCCAACTCGTGAACTCGAGTATATATATATATATATATATTTTTATTTATTTATTATTTTAATAATAAAATTACATATATATTCTTAATTTTTAATTATTTATTGAGAAAACTTATTTTATTCATTTTTAAAAAAATAAAATAATTATTTTTTATTTTTTCGATCTCGAGCTTTAGATTGACAGTTCGTTGAATTCGAGTTCAAATTTGATAAAATTAAATCAAGGCTCAACTTGATTAAACAAAAACTCGACTTGACTTAATTCGTTTATAACCCTAGTTGAGGAGGTGGGTTGGGAAGGGGGAGCGAACTAGAAAATGACCCCCTTTCTTTCCTTTCTTCTCTAGTGGTGACCAGCGTGACTAGATCTGGTCTCACCAATTGCAACCAAAGATGGGAAGTGGGGGATGAGGGGTTACTCTGGTTCGTGTTGGTGCGACCTGAGAAAGGGAAAGAGGGGTGGAGGGTCGAGGAGGTAGGTAGGGGAGGGGAAAAGAAAGAGAAAAAGGGAGGAGAAAGGAGAGAGAGGAGAGGGGAGGGGGAGGGGCAGCGATGGCTGTGGAGTAAGGGAGGAATAGTGGACGGTGGTGGTGTGTGGTGGTAATGGGTAGAAGAAGATAGAGGTGGAAGGTTTATTTATTTATTTTATTAATCGTATATGAGATTTGTATGGATTAGGTGTTTTTGGAAGTGTGTTATTATAGTTTATTGAAAAACTTGTTTGTGAAAAAATGGCAAATCCATAGAAACCCTTTTTCTGACAAAACAGAAAAAAAAGGCATAAGTAACTAAATTACATATCCAAAGACCATAATTATCTGAATTCCCTTTCTTTCTTTTCATTAGTAAAACATTTCATCTTTAGTTGTTAGTTTGTATTTCTCCTCCTCTTTTGTTGGTGAGATATGAAGTCCAAAACTTCAAAAAAAAATTAACAAAAACTTCTATCAACAGCATAATCATCATTGAATCAGGAACTCTTTAAATGATGTTTAAGGGAATATATCAGATTGCAACTTTTGGACATACAAGAATGCCAACTGATAACTCTCTCAGAAACCAAACAAAATAGTTAATAAACAAGATGAATTAAATTTACCAACAACTGGAGCCCTTGGTTGGGTTGTGCTTTGTTGACGAGACCCGCTAGAGCCGCCTCTGGGTTGAGCTGGCAATGCAAGTACCACCAAAGCTCCATCACTCGATAAACTTATGTTCACGTTACCTTCCATTTTAAACTTTTACAAAACAGAATTTAAGGAACTGAATTTTACTTTTCCAGGAAGGGATTGGCAAATAAGCAAAGGAAAATGACAAAGAACTTGAGGAAGGTAGGAGAAGTTTTAGAGGTATTTTTTGTGTTTAGGGAGGCCAGGGGATTGGCGTCAGAGAGGTGTAGCGTGAGGTCACACCGAAGTATCTTAAAAGCATAAATTTATCAGACTGCACTCCAAAATACTCGGCAAATTAAATGTGCCTACTAAATTATTGTCAGATAGCACATTTAAGATCGGATTCAAATAACTATCCTATCTGAGAAATGGTAACTAAAAACTCTATATTTCGTTGCACACACACATAAAAAAAATTGGCATCTACTAATTTGACCATAGTCTCCGGACATATGGTGCATGATATCAAGGTTATGATAATAAAAAGAGTCATTCGTTTCAAATATTGAAGGTAATGAAAAATTGGTCCCTGATGAATTATAGATTTGATAACTTGTATGATACAACATGGACTTATTACACGAGTTCTCCAAATCCTATCAATAGAGGTTTGTAGCTTCATTTAAATGCAACAAAATTGGTTTTGAATAGATAGCAACAAATTTAGTAACAAATAATTATAAAAAATGATGAAAACTAAGCAACCATGTTGGGAAACAAATAAATGTTGGAGAATGAATTGGTAGACACCTACTAAGCAAGACAAGCTGTCAAAGATTGCGCTAATCCAAGAATATAAAACAAGTGCATAAACATTTAGCATAGTCTTGTCTATCTTACGATGGATGGAGACATTCACCTCAATTGTTCCATCCACATAAACTTCTCTTCATTCTATTCCCTCCAAGTTATGGTATGAATTCATTTAGTATTGGAACTAATCTTTTACTTTTCCTATGAAACGGGCCCTCTTGTCCAATAAAGAAAGCATGTCTTAGAAACCATCCTCAAATTTTTAAAAGCAAAAATGCTTGGAAAATAACTCTATTAAAGACTTGCTAAACAATGGGAAAAAACAACTGTGGTATCATAATACGGTAATTGAAGAACAAAAGTTAAAGAAAACGTACGTGCAACTGAAGTGATTGATCGCCACCATTTACTTTCCTATCTATTCAGCCTTCGAATTAAAGTTTCCGGTAATATTTCATCAAGATGGGCGGAATTAGGGTTGCTGATTGTGGTGGATGGTCCATATGGAGGCCCTTATGTCGGCCAAAATGCCATTATTTCGGACCAATCAACATAAAATTTGAGCGGGGGTTAAACCGGGAGTCCATCAAGCGGTCAACAAAAATAAGAAGAAGAATAGAAGATCATTAGGTTGGTGAGTAGGCAGTTGAGAGAGAGAGAGATTGGACATAGTGTCGACTACAGTGGTACTTTTCCGGATGGCATATTACTTACTCCAACTTTTGCGCCAACTTGGTCAGAAGCTGCCTCAAGGACCCCCATAAGTCGGAAGCTCTGACCCATGAGAAGGTCCATTTATCCTTTTCCAAATGGGTCGACGGCAAACCTTAAAAGCCCAATATTTTTCTCCTTTCCCCCATCTCTATCGCTCTTTCTTTTTCCTTTTTTTTTTCTCTCAGCCATTTTATTGGATCTATGGTTTCCTTATTTTGTTTGATGTTGCTTATTTTTTCATTGAATAAAGGGATAATTTCATAAGTCTCCCTTGAGGTTTCTGACAGTCTCACTCTCCTCTCTTGTGGTTTCAAAAATATCAGAAACCTCCCCTGAGATTTAGGATTTTATAACAAAATTAGACCATGATATCAAAAGTGAACATAAAAAAGTGTTTTCAAGAAAGAGAGGAAATTTTGTTTCCATAAATGCCCCTGAGATAAGTGTATAAGTTATATTAGTGAAATAATAAAAATTTTAAAAAACCAAAAATAAATTAGAAAAAAAGGATAATTTCATATACAATATGTTATTCATCAATAATATTATATCAAAAGCTTTTACTAGATGGTTATTTGTTTCAATTGCATATTAAATTAACCATTAGTGCTTATGAGAGTGCATTAAATATTTAGTAGAGAGGTAGTTTACTTCAATAAGTAGCATGTATATAAATACTTAGTGAATGTACAATCTGATTGAAATAATGTACACCGTGTTATTGACCAAGTACGATGCATAGAAATTGTTGAACATGCATATTGCAATTAGTCATCGCAGCAATATGCATAATGCAATGGTATGTATACATTTGGAATGGTTATTGGTGTTTTGACCCACTTGTGCATCTCCTTACAAGTTGCAGTGGGTATGTAATTTTATCTATATGACTAATACTAATTTGCCTATAAACACCTTACACGTAGTGATATATGAGGTATAATCAATTTACAAATATATACATTATGTTATATGTTAGTTACTTAACTGTGTATATCTATAAAAGGTAGTGTAATGATACACATAAATTTGAAATAGTTAGGTGTTAAAAAAACATACATCATGTTAGGTGTTAGTTATTTGACTATGTATACATGTAAAAGGGAGATTAGATATAGCGTAGAAAAAAGCAATTACGTGAGTTGGAATGTATTTGTCCTGATAATCACGAAATATTAGCTGACTTGTGAGGTTATTTAAGTCTTTTTGGCCACGATGATGTAAGAAATGGGACCTAAATTCTGACATGAGAGGTTTGTGATATTTTTGAAACCACAAGAGAGGAGAGTGAGACTGTCAGAAACCTCAGGAGAGGTATCTGAAATTATCCCTTGAATAAATAGGTTTTTTTATCTGTTTCTTTTTTTCATTTATTTTTCTTTTTTGATCAAGTTTAATAAGCTAGACATTTAAATCTGGGACCTTTTTTTTCCTGTCTCTGCAAAAGAGGGTTTCTTCATGGATTACCATCATGTTATTGTCATGATATAAACCTAGTCATCCCAATCCTGAGAGTTCAAGCTCACCATGTAGCAAATGCAGTGCATAGTTGGAAATCGCTCCAATAGGAGTAAGACTGAAATTGTGTCCAACATAATGATTAAATTTGTAATTCAAATTCTGATTCTAGTTTTTTTTACTGCAAATTTGTGCTACTAATTGTGGAGCAACCATTGCAAAAGTGCACACTTTACACGAGATCAACTTACTCTTAACATATATGCACTACTTAAACTTGTGAAACATTAGTCAATAGTACCAACTGCTGAGCATTGACCTGTTAAGCAAATGAAATGCAAATCATGAGACCTTTTCTCTTCTTATGTTTAGGCGTTTAGCTGTTTCTGCCTCTAAGCATTATGTGAAAGATTATATGATGAACTTTGTGGTCCTTGTGCCAAAATTATGCATCTTTATACCTGCAATTGAAAGGCACAGCAACTTTGTGGCTTCTGGGCTATCCTAGGATGCATAATCTTGTCTCCTTGTGTGTCAATGTCGCATTGCTGGTCACCAACATTTTTTAAAAACATTTTTGAATTCTTGTCCTTGAGTTTTTTTTCAAGAAATTTACTTATCAATGTGTCATTGGTTTGTGATAGCAATTTGTGTCATCCATAACACTCTTGCACAAGTAGTTTATATTTGAGGAATGATGCCATCTGGTAAGAAGTATGTGGTATGCCAGCAGCATGTATTTCTATGATGATTGCACATTCCATTTTGTCCAGCTGTAATGGATTTATTGAGTTTGTTTGGATAGAGAGAATTTGGTTTGCTTAATTTATTCTCACAAATCCCAATCACCTTTTTATTTTCCCAATCACCTTTTTATCTCACATACATCACATCACAAAAAGTGCTACAGTAAATATCTCAAATAAATCATCCAAATAAACTCTTATCCAAACAAACTCATTGTATTCTAGTAATTAGTTTTGTCATGTTGCATCTAATTGTTAGCTTTTCAGTCTTATATTTCTCTTTCCAATGCATAAGTTGTCTAATCTCTAATTCAAATATACATTTGTCTGTTCATTAGCCATCCGCTCGGATACTCCAGAACAATGGGCTTGATGGTGTTGCAGCAAAGCAAGTCGCTTTGGTGTAGACATTTATTCTAAACACATGTTGTTTGAGTTGTACCTTGGATCTCCATTTCTGGGTCTGTGGTGCCCTTTGGACTTAGAATTTTTGTTTAACGGGGCTTGCATGAATATTATCCCTTTATAATTTGGCTATCCCCAACTTGGATCTTATAAACTGCCTGGGTTTTGAATGGAATGAATGCTTAATGTCCATGAATTTTTCTTCTTGTTCTTTTTTTCCTTCCCCTTTATGTTTGTGAACGTAAAAGTAGTCCTTGATGGTAGCTCGTAGGTTTCTTGTCTTCTGCTTTAAGTGATAGTTGCTCTGAGTAATGGTTGTTGGATTTGTATTTTCTTCCTATGCTTACCTTTGATAATTTTCCTTCACCAAGATGTGTTGGGCATCTGACAACAAAGGGATGCCCAGTTGTTGTCCGGTCTTCTATAGGATGGATAAAAGATTTAAATTCCGACACTGAGATGGATGAAAGGTTTAAGATCTCATCCTAGGGTTGAATGTTTGGGGGTAGATTGTTGGATTTTTCCTATGAGCTAACTTTTGTGGTGCAAGAGCCATATCTACTGTGAATATCAACTCACACCCTACTCCTTCCACAAGGAGCGTGGGATAAACTCAATGATTACATCCCCAACTAACAGAGTGTTTTCTCCACAATCAATGTGGAATAAACTCAATAATTTTCACTTGTCAATAAATACTGTGTCCCTTCTATAATTAATGTGGAATAAATCCAACAATTTACAGAATTTCCCCCTCAAACATAGTTCATATCAACTAACACCCTACTTCCAACAATTTCCTTCTCACGTATTGTGGATTAGATCACCAACCATTTATTCAAGAACTGACGCCCTAATGATGCCATAGATGAGCAGCGTAGAACCAATTTGGATAGAGTATTATTTGAAATATTACTTAGAATAATTACTATAACACTTTTTGTGATGTGATGCATATGAGATAAAAATGTGGTTGAAAATATA